GCTAAAAAAAAGAAAAGTAACAAAAAACAGCTAGATTCTAAAGGCGAATGTAGAAAACTAAAAACAGGAACACGTCTGCATTGGGCCCTGCCAGGAGTCCAACAGATTCTTAAAGCCACTTAGAGAGGTCAAGGTCGAGAGCTTCAGATCTTTTTGTAATAAATTCCAGGAAACAGGAGCGTAGTAGTAGAAGGCCCCGGCAGGGACCAATGCAGACATGTTCCCGTTTTTAGTTTTCTACATTCGCCTTAGAATCTAGCTGATAGTAGTTGGTCATTAATTACGATGAAGTTTAACAACTTCTTGGTAAACATTAGAGCTCCGGGCCTTCAGCGATGTGTTTGTCTTGCTCAATCCGAAGCAGGCGGTCTGATCTCGGTCAGCCGCGCTCAGTCTGTTCCTCCTCCGACACGGACAGACTGAGCGGGTCAGACTGAGCGTGGCTGACCAAAATCATACCATACCATTTTATTTATAGAGCACTTAAAACAGCGACAAGGCCAACCAAAGTGCTGTACAGACAGAACAACAGGTAACACACAAAGCAAAATACAAAATGAAGTAAATCAGAATATAGACATAAAAACGATGCAGATAATGAAGACTAACCAGTGTGGAGCATACAGGATCAAAACACAGATCATCTGGTGTTGAAAGCTACCGAATAGTAGTGGGTTTTTAAACGGGACTTGAAAACCGAGAGGGAGGGGGCCTGTCTGACAAGCAGAGGTAACTCGTTCCAGAGTCTTGGTCCTGCTACAGAGAAGGCCCTGTCCCCTCTGCGCTTAAGACGAGTTCCTGGAACTGTGAGGAGCAACTGGTCCGTTGACCTCAGGGAATGTGGTGGGACATACGGTTGTAGCAGATCAAAGAGATGGGGGGGGGGGGGACTGTTCAGTGATTTGTAGACATACATGAGTATTTTGAACTGGATTTGAAAGTGAACCGGTAACCAGTGCAGGGAGGCCAAAACTGGTGTAATGTGCTCTCTTTTGCCTGTACTGATTAAAAATCGGGCTGCTGCATTCTGGACAAGTTGTAGTCGTGCTACGGAGGTCTGACTGATACCAGACAGGAGCGAATTGCAGTAAATCAGACTGCCTTCTCCAGACTGAACGAAAATAACAGACCGCTGAAGCCCCAGAGCTCGAATGTCCATCGTAAAACTAACTTTACCGCGGTTTAATGTGGTGCTATGGCTCTGCAGACATTGCACGTTGCTGTCTTGTTTTGTGGTGTTTCTAGTGTAAAATACTTCCACACAGCGGACATGTTTAGATGAAAAGTTGGTTAGCTGTTAGCCACAGTGCTGCTAACTCAGTCCTCACGTTGTAGCTGACTGCAAACTATGAAATGGATTTCCTGAATGTGAGGCGGGTCTTATTACTCTGGGTTCATGAGACACGCCTCCGTTCAGGAAATCCATTCCATAGTTTGAAGCCAACGTGCAGCACAACCACAGACATGCATCATGGATCGGAAATACCGGCAGGTTGGATCAAAAAATCCGACACGTAAATTATGCTGGTATCGGAGCCCGATACCGATACTGGATAGGATCAGTCCCATCCCTAATTCAAAGGGCGGAGTTGTTAACCTTACACTTCATAAACCTCAATAATGCAACAACTAATGTACCATGTTGGCTTAAACTGCAACAAGTTCAATGCTATTTGTAACAATTATGGAACAGTGGATGGAAATTTAAAAAGTTATTAAAATCAAATTTGATTTTTTAAAGATTTTTGAAAGGCATCTTCAACCACGTGTCCAATTCATCAGCAGATTATAAAAGGCAAAAAAAAAAAAAAGTTTTTTCATAAAAGACTAAAATGTAAATTTTATCAACACAAACATGAGGGGGCCCTGATCAAGACACTGGAGTTAATTATCCAGAGAACTAACTGTGCCTCCTAGCTTCTGTTTTAATGCAAACTACCAGTAGCTATTTGCAGTATACTGCCTGTTAGCAAAATATCTCAAGAACTAACAAACAAATTTAGCTTTACATCGTTCCCTGCGACCCGAAAAGGAAGAAGCGGTTAAAGATAATGGATGAATGGATATAAGAAAGAGTTCTGATACTGTTACAAACTGACCTGCAGGTCAAGGTGAAGATTCAAGGGTTATTTTTAAAGAAAGTCTGAATAACCAAACAAATGTGAGACAGCCTAACAATCTCAGGTTTGGACTGAAGAACATGCCGAGTGTGGCCCCTTCGTTTTCCTCAGTACACTGGGCCAACCTCCTGGGAATAAAATGCTGGACAACTGAGCAGGAAACTGAGCATAAAATTTTTCCTCTTCACATGCTTACACACAGAGCTTGCCATTCAGCATAATATGAATCAACACGTCCCTGTGATACCTGCTAGTTGACAAATTTTGCCTTCGTAGTGTGCAGATACCAAACCTGCTCTGCACCTTACCTTGAAACTTCTTAAAAAGTTTCCACCCTATAATTCAAACACACCAGAACGAAAAACTGTCTGACCTCTTGAGCAACCACAAGTTCATCACCGTCAATTAACAAAGGCAAGAAAATTTTAACAGAAATAAAACCAAGCCAAACTCCACTCATCGTGTCTTCATGTAAGCTCATTTATCTGGGTAAATAAATCCAAAAAAGTTGTCAGGTCATCTGGACAGATCTTGCATAAAGTACACACTGGACTTTAGGAGAAATAAGGTAATAAATAATAATAATAATTGAGGAGGCTTAACCAAAATAGACCAGCTAATGAAGACAACTGTCAACTTTTGCAACAAGTTTCACAAATACGCTGCTTTCACAAAAACTTCAGAGCATCCAAATCAGTGTCCAGCATTTAACTATACAACCAATGTACCAGATAAATGACAAAGTAAATTTGAAATCTGTATCAAATTATTAGTTAGCACAAATGCAATACACCACTGACAAAGAAAGCATTGCAAGAAAATAGTAAAGGATCAATATTTAAATAGCAATTATCCTCCTGTTATTGACTTCTACTGGCAAAATGTTGACTAATCTTGTTCTCATATTTTATCTTGGCTGACTAACGTGCTTGTCTTCTGAGCTGTTAAAAGCAGAGTAAAACAATGTAACTGCTTCTGATTGGCCCCTGTACTCGGTCATAAATTAAACAAACAGCAAAACCTTTCCATTGCTAGGATGGTTGTCTGAAATAGCATTAACTCGAACTCTGTCTTATCCCGACGGGAAAATATGAAGACATACAAATAATATTAAAATATACACATAAAAATGTGTCCTACATTTGTAAGACAGCGCTAGAAACAGCTTATACGCTTTGCACTGTAAATAAATAATGTACTTTAATTTGAATGATTCTTTATGGATTTCATTAGTTATCTTGTTCTATGTTGTGTTATCAAAAAAATAAATAGACGGGGCAATTTCAGATTCAAATTCAACAACTTGGTGATACATAAATTCATGTGACAACTGCTTTTGCACATATTTGTCCTGCCACTGCTGCAACCTTCCTCTCATCAGTATGTTGAAACCTTTTAGGACATGTCTTACAACATGCGTTTCCTGTTTGTTTTAATGAAACGTCAAATCTCAAAAATACATATTGCGTAACCAACGTATCCGTTGTCATGCTCAGAGAATAAATACTCGACTTGTAGGCAATAATGAACTAGTGATGACAATCCTTCAAACGTGTACGAGTCCCTTATGTTGTTGCTAAGGCACAAAAAAAAAAGCTGTGCGCTGTGACAAACCCTTGCTTTTCTTTCCAGTGGAGACAATCTCCATGGTAACGAACTATGGGGGTAATTAGAGCACCTTAGGGAGGAAGACATAACAAAATAAAAGCAACTGTGATACCTGAGAGAATGGTGTAAGTTGGTGCCAAATGTACTGTAAAATAAAATTGTGTCTTTTGTTTATGTTCTTTCTAACATAATTGTACAATAAACACAGTTAGCACGTTAAACACAGTTAGCAAATTTCACATGCCTACAATTGCTTTAATGGGTCCAATAACTTTGAAAGCCAAACAGTAGAAACTGAGATTTTAATCCGCTCCTGCTTAGATAAGTACTTATTTTGGTACAACTAAAACTGGATGGCCTAACATTCATAACTAAGTTTAGGTAACTGCAGTAACTAAATTCTAGCTATGTTTAGTAACAATATTGTTTAATATAAGTAAAGTGGGTAAAGAAATTTGCATACTTTTTGCTAACAATATAACATGTAACATCCTTTCTCATGGTAGTAGGTACCTCATAGGATATCTCTGAGAAATGGTTGCTTAAAAAACACCCCACTGAGTGTCAATGACCTGCAGTACACCAAGGCTGAAAGGAAGATTTGTTTACTTTGTCCTCCTGTGACTCAGATGGAGAAGATGAGGCAGCCAGAAGTCAAACAGGCAGGGGGACATTCCCACTATTTGCCAAGCATTTAGACATAACATTGGTTTAAAGCCTCCTTGAGATGAGATGACACTGTGTGGATTAAAGGGTTTTGTTTTAACCTTCTCACTTTCATCTGAATATCCTCGTTTTCATCTGATTCTTCCATCCTCGTACTTTTTGAGAACTGCCTGTATTAGAAGTTAGTTAAAAAGACCACGATGACTGACATTGTTAAAACAATGTATATGCCTCCAATACCGAGCATCGTATTCAAATTCTAACTGGCAGCTGCAAAACTCTGCACGCTACTGTAACCGTTTGCTTTGGCGCACATACCATGGACTCGGCTGCATCTCTCCAAAATAAAACGTAAAAATTCCAGCAATAAATTCCCATAAATTCAAAAGTTGTTGCTTCTCCTCAAGCTGGTGGTCCGAGTCTGACTTAAAATGTTTAAGCTTTGTTTTGACAGCTAACATAAAGTTAGCTGGCGGGCTAGAAAAAAAGGTGGCTAACTAGCAAAGCTATCAATGTTCCTAAAAACGAAAAAGAAAACAAGATTTGCCGCACTGAAAACAAAGTTGAAGGAAACAAAACAGGGTGCTAAAACATCTGGTAACTTACCTTGGCTGTACATGCAGTATGAATGTTATGGCAAGTCCAACAAAAGCTGGGCACTGTGTGTAATATTATTTCTAAACAGAAGCGGAAGTCGCTGGCTGAAGGGGCGGCAACAGAGGCTTGACTGACGTGACCCCCAGCCAATCAGATGCAAGCATTCTGACCAAAACAACTTTGATGGCAAAATAACGTTCATACTCTACAGAACAAAAATTTGTTTATAATGTACAAATGCCGTTTTTATGATCATAATTTACAGCTAAACATATAGTTAGGAGATTTTTTTAAATGTGTTAAAATAGAAACGTTAAATAGTTTATACCTGTAAATTTGGAAATAGAAAATTACAGTATGTAGTATTAAACTTTGGGGGAAAATATTTTACAGTTTACATACATGTTTTGATGCTTGATTACAACTCTAGTGCTAAAAGAAAGAAAACTGAATTTAGTCAGTTAAAATTCTCTCCAAACCAACTTTCTTAAACATGTATTTGTGTTTTTGATTTGGCTTATTTGGCCTTAGGTTAATTGGGGTACCTTTTTGTCTGTGTCAGTAGGACATTATTAAAAGTGTTGTATATTATCACTCTCAATAATAATAGAGTTTATCAGTCACTCTTATATTTGATAACGATATGCAGCCGACTGCCTGCTTAGGCATACAGGCATGAGGGGGTGCAGGGGCTTCTGGCCCATATTCATTGTGTATAGTCTACATAAAGAAAAGTGATTGTAATTGCAATTTGCTAGAAATTTTGTGTTTAATGAAGGTTTTCTGATTGCCCTTTCATACATCATAGCAACTTTTAGGTATTTTCTTTTAAAATAAGGTTTTAAATAAGGTTTAAAATAAAGACTGACACAGTTTTACACTGGTGAGAAAAGAAAACGGTGAATATAATCCCAGAAGGCACAAGAGGAGGAGGTGAACAGAGAGCATTTCAAGGGGGGAATGGTTCCTATTCAGGCTGTCAGTGGGACACAGAGTCCTGCTTGTACACAGTGACACAAACAAAGGCAGTCATATATCTCATACAAATGCTGACACTGTTATTGTAAATCTCAGTTGAAACAAAGGTCAAATAAAACTTGACTGATGCTTCAGCATAAATCTTTACAATCTCTATACCATTGAAAAATCCGGAATGTGCAACAAAATTATTTCAAGTCAACAAAATACTTTGATCTTATTGCATAAATGAGCTTAATCTTGCTGCTGCATTGTTCCTTGCATGCTGCAGCTTTTACTGCTCAACACAAGGTGGAGGTACAAGACTGCTCAACATTTCTCACTGGCAACTTCTCCCATGCAACAATAAACTGAATCTGCATAACCATTTTATTTTTATTTGTGTTTAATGGTAGTTTTTTATTGCACTTTATCCTGCATACTGTTTGTGACTGACATAAATTGTCAGCCCACTGTATGATTTTATTTATAAGTGTTGTTCAGTAAGAAAACAATTCCTCCTGGTGCTTTTGGACATTTTGGTAATTGAAAGACAGATACAGCAGATATTTTGACTTTCATTTAAAAAACATTAAAATTATTACAATGTGATCAAATCTCAAGTGCAAAAATATCACATCATAATAACAGCACATCAGCTAATATTATCTAACGATTTCAACAAAATTTGAATGTTTGCAGGTGTCCAAATCTCCCCATATATAAACTGCAGCATGTTGTGGAGACAAAGCAGAATCAGCAGAATGTGTGACTTTTATGATACTGAGGTTATTTTCTGTAGCCTGCAGGGAAGGAGAATGCTGTGAAACTTTTTATTCCCCCCAAAATAAGGCCTCATGAGGCTTGTTTTACTGAAAGGGAACAATGTGCCCCACCAGCTCTCACAGGGAATAAAAACCAATCAGTTGAGGAATAACACTGCTGCACAAATTGTACTTCTCTAATTTGAGGGAATACACACAAAAGTTTAGTTCACTTATGAGTGCTGGTACAATAGCCTAATGATAGAGAAGAGGAGGGGACATGTTAATAAATTACAGATGAGCAACAAAAAAAAAAAAAACACAAAGTAGGGCAGTTATAAGCAACAGGATGTTTGTCTTCTAATGTGAACAGTCAGAAGAAAACTGTGACATCTCTGACGTAGCTCAGCTTTATAACCCTACAGCACTGACCACCTTCCAATTACTGGACTGAGCATAACTTGCAAAGACTGCAACTTTCTATTGTTGTTTCTGCAAGGAAAGCAGACTTGAAAGTATTGCACTTCATTACCCAGACAGGGCATCAATGAGACGCACATCAGGCTTTTGTTCAGCTACAATTAGTGAAATATCTCATTGTGAAAGTATTTGCTGGTTGGTTGATTGAGATGCTTTTCTGACTGAGGCCCGCCTGGAGAACAATGGGGTGGTGGGTGGGTGGTCTTGTTGTCCCAGTGGGTTGTTTATGCAAATTGATGTTGGGTGACACTTGATGTTTCATTCCTGACTGTTTTGGAAATTGCAGTTTGAGAGCAGAACATTATTTTACAGCCGTATTTAAAAAAAGAAAAAGTTGTGTGGAATTTAAACAAACGCAAAATGCAATTACTTAAGAAAATACCACATACCACTTTATTTACAGAGCACTTTGAACAGCAACAAGGCCAACCAAAGTGCTGCACAGCAGAAACAAACAAGCAAAGCACACGACAAAAAATAAAAAATACATAGATCCAAATGGAAGAAGATAATAACTAAAAGGTTGTAGAATGGACTTTGTTGGTTTTGAACCAGTTTGACATGACTGTCGATGAGGGAGAGGGCCGGCACCGGAGGAAGGGGCGTGCCAAAGAGACCATTTTAGCACCAACATAACTGGTTTGTTCCACTTTGGAGTAAGCTGTTGGGGGAAGAATCAGTTTTGTGTTGTGTTTCCTTGACTGATGAAGCCTTCTGGATGGAAGGTGAAACAATTCAGAAAAGAAAAAAAAAAGAAACTGTCCAGATGACCTGACTGAAAATTGTTGGATTGTAGAATACAGACAGGTTACGAACAATTCACACCATGTCAAAAGCCAGGGATTAAAAGTGGGTTTAAGTGAGACTTAAAAACAGTGATGGAGGGGGCTTGCCTGACATGTAGTGGTGTTATTCCACAGTCTTGGACCTGCAACAGAGAAGGCCCTGTCACCTCTGAGCTGACAGGTTCCTGGAGCCAATAAAGCATCTGATTCGCTGACCTCAGGGAGCGCTGTGGGACATATAGCTACAGCAGATCCGCAAGATAAGAGGGGGCAGAACTGTTCAGAGATTAAAAAGCATACAGAAGGATTTTGAGCTGAATTCAAAAGTGAACTGAGAGCCAGCGCAGGGAGGCCAAAACTGGTGTAATGTGCTTTCTTTTGCCTGTACTGGTTAAAAATCTGACTGCAGCATTTTGGACATCTGGCAGCATTTTGGCATTTTGGACAGCATAAAATGCAATTAAATACTTTCTATTTTTAATTTGATACAACAGAGTTAAAAAATGTTGTGTCACTCCTTGTTTAACCACACTCGCTCTACAAGGAGACAAGTGCACAGGTTGCTAAGTCAGAAGGCAAAACAGTCCAAAATACCCTGGACTTATTGCAAGCTGTACATTATTAGTCACTTATAGTTCACACATTCCCCATCAAATCTATACAGTACGTTTGAATTTAAAACACAATGTTTGCTTATCGTGTTACTGTTGCATACATCACTTCTGTACACACATGCTCTTGTGTGGTTATTGTTTGATGAGCATGATGAAGCCGCTCATGCACTACTACTTCCTGCTACAGATAGCATGCTTTTCTTGTGAACTAAAATCATTAAAATGTTAAAACTGTTCAGTATTTGCCAAGCTACACTTGTGCTGTAACAGTTTTATTTTGCTGATAGAACACTCTTTTATTATTTAATTTGATTGATTTCTTTGTAATTCTACCAGGAAAGGCTCCATGTTACATACTCTAAGAGAGTATGAATCACAGTATGAACGGGGGGTTACCTGAGATTTGAGCAGCCTTGGAGCTTTGCAACTATCTGTTGACTTCTGTTGGCACCGGGTCAATGGTATTGATGTTGTGACAGCAAACAGAAACGAGGATGAATTCTCAAGTGTAAAAATATGTTGTGTGTGTTCACATTCAGACAAATGCAGCAAAGTGGATTGGAAAGGAGCTTCACAACAGAACTGAGCAAAGTACCCCAGAGTTCATTTATTTATTTTCAAGATTAAAAGGATGAACTTTCTATCTTGGTCAAGTCAATCCCCTGATCTCAACATGATCAAAGAGCAAGACTGATAATTAACTGAAAACATCAGCCGTGGAGGCATACATTATGCAGGATAAAATCATTCTTAAGAGATAAATGAGGGTTTCAGGCATAAGGAAGTCACTCCATGCAAGCATAACATAGAACTGATATTAGGCAGTGTGTGTGAGTATATATATATATATATATATATATATATATATATATATATATATATGTGCATACATACATCAGCAGCCTTGGAAAAGACATTTAAAACCCATCATTCATGTTGAATGTGCTGTATTCCTAATTTTCATTCAGATCAATATGTTAGACTCAACACAACCTCAAATGTTTTATATAACAATTATAAATCTTTAAAGAATACAAGTTAATTAAAAAGGGTCGTATAAAAAGTTCATTTAAGGGCAGCAACAAATATAACTTGAAAATGCCTGATAAATAGCCATGCGATGGACCTGCGACCTGTCCAGGGTGTACCCCGCCCCTCACACAGTGATTACTGGACATGACCCCCATGACCCAAAATGGAAGAAGAGGGTAAAAGATAATGGATGGATGGATGGATGCCTGATAAATATTTTCAATCTATGTATGAAATGTTATCTATGATATTTTCAATCTATGTATGAAATGTTATCTATGAAGTATTTTAAGACCTAATTATACATAATCATTAAAAATGTTTCACTTTAATGATTACTTCAGACTGAATAATGCCCAGTCTTTGAAGAAGATGATGTCATGTTAATCAGTGATGTTTTTTTTATTTTATTTTTTTTTTTTTTTTTTTCATTCAAACTTTATTTATACAGGTTAGTCACATTGAGCCTCGAGGACTCATTTACAAGAGAGACCTGAAGAGACTTGAACATGTTCAGGTGCAAAGACAAATGCAGGAGTGTAGAAGGTAAACATCATATCAGATATTTAGTTTACATTTAGTAGAAATAAACAAATTACTGGCTTAAACATAAACCAAAAACTCTTGTTTGCAAAAAGGGTATATTTTGTACAAATGGAGTTCACAACAACAACAAAAAGTTTTTACCCGTATTTGTGCACTCATTTTAAAAAAATCATAAACTGCTGGTTATCTTATGTTATGGATGGAAGTTTATTCCTGTCTCTGAAAACAAAATATAATCCAAGTCATAACTTTAGGATAGTAGCTATCTGATAAATGCCAAGTCATAATTTTGAGATAGCCTATGTTTTAAATTTTAAACATTATTTTATAATTATGATTTAGCTTTTTAATCAAAGTGGTAGAAATGGGCTTCTATATAATAAACATAAATATTTATGTGTTCTAGTGAGTTCAGAAAATAGATATATGATTGTCAGGGCATGTTGGTGACACATTTGATTCAAGTAAATAATAATAAAACTGTATTTTCAAAGCAGCATCATCATCTATTTGCCCAGAAGCATCCCACTTATGGATTTTCCTCCTTGCTCTTGTAATATTTCGCAGTGGTGGCGACAGAGAGCTTCAGGAGGAGAGATCGTCCTCCTCCAACTTCCATCTCATTATTCTGGGCGGAGAGAGGAGGAACCGCCACACTGCTTCCCTGTTCTCTCACCGGTCTTTGGGTGCTATTCATGCAAAGCAACCCCGGAGAGAGCGGAAAAAACTGGGATATTATTTCACCTCCTGGATTATTTTTTATATTCTTACAGGATTTGGACTCTGCCTTTGCCCGGGTCGTCCTGTTGCACCGCGCGCTCCGCTTGGAGTGATCTCCTCCTTTTGTTGCTCTGCAGCTTGTTTTTATCCACAACTTCTGCCTCCTACAGGGGGTTCTTTTCTGCTTTCTTGTGTCGTCCTAAGAGGAATGAATGACAAAAACAAAGGAGGTTGATGTCCAGAACTCTCCGACTCACTTCTTCGCCTCGCCCAAAGAACGGAGACTCCATCTCCGGCAGAAGATGGAAAGCGGAGGCGGGACGGAGAGCTCGGACAGCGGGCCGACGCAGCACGCGGTGCCCGGCCAGCCGCCGCCAACACCCGGGTCCGAAGCTGCGGAGCTCCCGGCGGTGCTTCCCGTTCAGCCGGCGGCCGAGAAGAAGAAGATAAACCGGGCGCCGTCACCGGCCAGACCCAAGGATGTACCCGGGTGGTCGCTTACGAAGATCCGCGGAGGGATCGGGACCCCGACCCTGAGCGTCAAGCCCGGAGCCATCCATCTGGGGAGCCGCATTTCCAGGCGCAGCCCGGTGGGAAGCCTCGCCGGGAAGGAGAGTAAAGCGGAGAGAGGCGGCGGTAAAACTGGGGGCAAATCCCCCCTCTCCGGCGGCGTGTCCAAGTCCTCCAAGGCGGCGAGAAGCGCCAGCGGGCGGAGGAAGGTGTCGGACGCCAGCAGCGTAGGATCCGATGATTTATCCAAGGACTCCGGCTGCGCCGCCGGGAAGCTCTCCCCGACAGACAGCAGCTCGGAGCTGTCGGACTGCGCCTCCGAGGACAACAAGCTGTCCGCGGATGCTGCGAGCAGCGACGCCGAGTCGAGGAGCAGCCGGGGGCCGGACGGAGAGAAGCCGCTCAGGGAAGGCTCTCAGGCGGACAAGGCGTGTCGACAAGCCGCTGCGAGGACCGCCACTGAGAGAAGCGACAAGGACCGACTGTCTCTGAGCGCAGAGGCCGGAGAGGAGAGCGCTTCCCCCGGCGAGGACCGCTCGGTCACCTCGGTGGACAGCAGGGTTCCTGCCAGCACCTCTCTGGCTTTCTCAGACCTCACAGAGTTCACGGACGGAATGCACGAGGAGTACCTCAGGGAAATAGAAGAGCTCAGGTCTGAGAATGATTACCTCAAAGTAAGTATGCCTTTAAATCAACTGCATTTTCCCCCATAGCTAATTTAACCTAATCATTGGTATTTCCAAGGCTTTTGTCAAAGTGTGTGTCTGCAACAACTTTGATACACTCTGGATTTTATTAGGTTTGGCCTGGCTTTTTTTCTTCGTGCCCCCGCCCCCTTTGTTTGTTTGTTTGTTTGTTTTTGCACAGGGATGATGGTGTTATGAATAGTCAGCAAATTTTGTGCTACAAGACCAAATACATGCTGCATAGTAGCCTCCAACTGGAACATTTGGCATTGAAAAAACGTGACATTCTTTCAAAATAACGTGCCTGTTTGTTTTGTGGCATGTACCAGTAATTAGTTGTGTTTCAGTTCCTCACATGAAAAGGAGTGAGTGGTGTCAGCATTTGTTTGTCATGTTATAAAGTCTTTATCTAGCTGTCTTTGCTGTCCTTTTTTTACAAGTGAAATGCAGATTCCTTAAAAACTTTAGCTTCATTGTTGCTTCATTCTTGTGTGTTTTTCTTTCTTTTTTTTAAAGATTTGCTGCTTTCATGGTTCATTCTAAACGTTTTTTTTTCCTCTTTTTCTATTTCCATTTTGGTTCACCCATTAAGAAAGAGCAAATGGGAATTTCCAAACTGACAAAAGACAATAACCAGTCAGCATTTTACATTGCTTTATAAATAGTATGTACAATACTGAAAGTGAGTATTTCAATGTGTTAAATGAACCATAGAACCTCTGATAGTTTGCAGTCAATAAAGTAAAAGCAAACAGAAAGAGAGCAAATAAGTTTGAACTTTCCTTTTCTGAATCACAGTGAATGCAACACAACTGGAAGTAAAAGTTGGGACAAAATTAAATAAAAGGAGACCTATCGTTCTCTGAACTGAGAAGTCGATACCCTCAGTTTGCTTTATGAAAGGTTTTTAAATGGGGGGAGGGAGATGCTTTTCCAAAGTCTTAGTGTTGGTAGTGTCTTCAGACATCCAGTTACCGTATATCTTCTCAGTCAGAGAAAATGTACAACGTTTTATACGACTGCTTGAAAACCAAGATGATAATTGCATCATGTTATCTCTCTTCAGTTCACTGGGAGTAGTCTACATTTCGTCACTGTGATTAAAAAAACGACTCTTTCGGGTCTTCCAGTTCGCCTGCAGACAGTGCTGTAAGTGAATCCATTGGTCAGACAGACCCACCAGTCAAGCCTAACTTGAGATTTATCGACTAGGGGAAGGATCAATCAGAGAGCATGTCCTGAAGCACTCATTGTCACTGACCAGACAAGCCAGTAATTGTCAAAGATCGATTGGGAACAGTGACTGATCAGCAGCACACGCCTGTGGATTGTTTTAATTGTTTCCTCCCATCATTTTGTTTTATAGCTGTGTTTGGACAGTTCTAACGCTGATGACTAAAGATTTTACTTGCTCGTTGAAAGCTTTTGTTTGCGCTCAGAGTTACGTCTCATCAAGCTTGGAGCAGTGTTGGTTACTGTGTGTGAGTGCAGACTGAATATAGGACATCATTTTACAGAACCACTTCTTTGGACCACAGCGAAGCCTCCTGGGAGGCCCTGCAGTGTTGAAACAGTTGGTGCAGCTGTGAGGAACAGCTGGTCTGCAACCAGAAGACCACATCAACATACTGTTGAGATGTTAGACTGCAACTCTTACTCTAAGTCCTTGTTCTAAATCTTATCTACATTTATTGTTTCGTTTCTTAACGTTCTTGTCTGTCGGTCTTATTCGCTCAGAATGTTCTGCTTGTTATGTCTTGGTGCAGCTTCTGTTTCACACTCAGTTCATTCCTCAAATCTGACCTATTCTGATTTTATACTCGGTGTTAAATGTTCACTTTTAATCGGCTTCATCTTTAGTGTGGTCAAAAATAACAACGTGCTTTACATGGAGTCTGAACTTCCTGCTTTCCCACAGCAGAAACATGCAAATCACTGCGTGGCATGTAAAGAACAGCTTGACTGTATTACACAGTTTGATTCATTATATATATATATCACACAGATACTCTTGTATTATGTATTTCATTAAGTAAGTTAAATCAAATACATATAACAACCTAACCCATTTTAATCTATTTACTAACTTTTTCTCAAGTTAAATTTTAACCAGACAGTTTACTATCTGTCCTGTGACTACCTTTTCAGATATCAGATAAGATTATCTGTAGAACGTTTATTTAGGACTGTTTTAGACTATTCATCTCTACAGCCATCATCATTCCTTTTATCCTTTACATTTCTTAGACTCCTTAATACAGTCAAACAACTTTAACTACAACAGATTTCTTAATTAAATACTCACAAATGTTTCTTTTTCCACTTCATGCATTAAGGTATTTTCCGACTTGCTGAAAAATAATTTGAACTCTGAAAGCACTTTTTATGCTTCTGGTGTCTTTTCTCCTTTTTAATTCAGGAGACTCAAACTTTGTTTAATTGCCTGTGAACAAAATCATCAAGATCTACTTGTCCATTTGCAAGTGAATGCACCTTAAGGTTTGCTGGCCTCGCTGACTGAAAGTATTATGATATTGTAATGGCTAAGGTGCTTGTGTGATTAGGTCTCAAAAAATATTTTCATTTTACAAATTGAGTATGATCCTGGGAATTTAAAACAGCATGTCAGCAAATTTCAGAAGACAAATCTGCACGTTTTCCACTAACATCTGTTAAGAAGTTAGGAAGTGGTTCTGCTGGAGTTTTAGAGACGCTGCTCAGTGAATTTTCTCACCTGTTCAAAATGTCATACAGCTATTTTTTTGTCTTGTCTTCATTTCAATTTATGCTAAACTTGCTGTGTTTTAGCTTAGCCTTTGTTCATGTAAATTAGCTTTTATAATGGGATCCAAAATGTTTAAACAAACTTATATGAACAAGAATAGTACTCAGAAACATTTTTAGTTATGCAAACAACAGTTGTGTGCTTTAAATTACAAATCAGCATCTTCTGATAGAATAGTTGCATATTTTTTCTTTAATGTTTTTCATTTAAGAAAAGCAGCAAAAATCTGAAAGAACACATATAAACACAAATTCTGGACCGTAAATCTTTCAAGATACTTTTTCATTGTTGGAAGCATGAAACACAAGTGATAACTTCACCAAAACATTTATTCTTCCAAGAAATTGGTTGTAAAAAAATCCCATTCAAAGCTGTTGAAATCTGCAGTAAACATGTCCTCCAGATCACCGTCTGGCTCTTGACGATGACAGCTGATTGGTTGATTTCTTCTCCTGACTGGCTGGTTGCTCACATGACACAGACAATCTTTCCTTTTATTTCTTAGTTAGTTGTGAAAAGCAGGTCAGTGGAACAAGCTCTGCCTCTGTCGGTCTCCTGCCACACTATCTTGTGATTCCCTGCTCTCATGTCCTGACTTTTCCTTGCTGTCACATTTTATCATATTTATGTGTTCCACCATGTAATAAGTTGATTTTTTTTCTAATCCATACTTACATTTCATTCTATGATTCCTTTTAGTTTTGTTCTTTTGAGCACTTTTCCTTTTGCTCTTACTTCCTTTATTTCATTTTCTTCTGTTTTTTGGGGGGATTTCTTACTCCATCATTGCTTTCCAGCTGTTTCCCTCCATAATACAGATGTGTAGAAGTGGTTAGTGAAGATCAGATTGCTCCATGATGCAGTCCTTCTTAGTTCCATCCTTGCATCTGGTACACAAAATTACTTGCGAGCACACAGAGACACAATATCAGAGAAATACCTTTAATTGTAAATGGTTTTTTCTGCTCGTGGCAGATTCTTCCAACTGTTTAGCTTTGACTCATTTTCATATTCTGCACATGCACATCCCCAGAGCTTGTTGTTGCTACAGTACTGAAGCTGACCCACATTATCCACTATGGTGAATAACGAAAGCACTACTACTACTACACGCGCTCCTTTTCCTGTATCTTGATAGTCTCACACACACCAGCAGTTTTAGCTAACACAGTCTTTTTGACCATCAAACTGTGTTATACTCTTTTTTGCTGTCCTGTAAAGACAGCTAAGCCTTACACCTCTTTGTGGTTGAACATTTATATTGGACACACCCACAATGCTACATGAACAGCACCTTAAATCAGATTCAGATGGTTGATGCAATTCATGCTCTGGGGCTGCAATGAATAATTGATCTATATTTGACTAAAAGAGGGCTAGATAGCAACATCACTAAGTCATTTGTACTGGATTTTCTCACATTTGATGTTATGTTACGCACAAATGGAAAAACAGTGCTTATATTTTACTTTATATGTCTATAGAGTCTTATGGTAAATTAATGATGCTCTTGCTATCCTCTAAATAAAACTGTGAGATTTAAACTTTTGATTTCTCCAAAACTTACTGATTTTTAGTTGCTGAGAGAAAACATGTCAATGAAATACAAAAATGCTATAAATTATTATATTTAATGGTACTTTTGATCTGATGCGACAAAGAAATCGCACAGCGGTCAGTTTTAAGCAGACTGTAATTGCCATGCAGCTGATAGAAAAATACAAAGGAAGATGAGGTGAGCAATGATGAAACAAATTATGCTCATAGCAAGGTTAATGGAACAATATTTTGCACCTACATTATGAGAAGAAGTTTTGATAGCTTTTTGTAAATGTAGAATGTGATTTTAATGTGGCCACCTCTTTACTGCAGTCAGCTCTTTGCGTACAGTCATTTACAACTTAATGTTCTCTTACAGGTGCCTGCAGCTCATGTTTTATTTTTTTTTCAACCAGATGAACAATAGAGGAGCATCTGTCTCATAAAATGTTGTAATAAGACCCATGTATGCACTTTTAAACTCTCTTTCAACTAAACTAAACTCTACTTTTTCCAGGATGAGATGGAGGAGTTGAGGTCTGAGATGCTGGAGATGAGGGACATGTACTTGGAGGATGATGTTTACCAGCTGCAGGAACTGCGGCAACAGCTGGAACAGGTACTTTTGAGGGCAGACAAGCATGCTAAGGGTGATCTAATCATGTGTTTAACATTTTATAATCTATTGGCTGTACATCCACCTGTGTCAAACAGACAGAGGCTGTAAAATGTTATGAAAACTGATAAGTATGAGAAAGGATTAGTAGTCTTGTGATTATGTTTGTTCTTGAGGAAACCATAAGGGGCCGAGATGGTGTAGAGGCAGGGCAGCCGGCTTGGGACCCGAGAGTCCCAGGTTCGATCCCCAGTCACTGCACATCACGTGGCGTCTCTGGGCAGCACGTCTAATTCCCAAAATGTCCCCCGGGCGCTTTCAATAGCTGCCCACTGCACCACCTGGTGGTGGATGGGTTAAATGCAGAGACTAATTTCGCCATTGTATGGAAACATACAGTGCTGACATTGTGATGACATTATTATTATTATTATTATAAGGCACAGTGCAGGATAATTAAATGATCTCCAGGCTATCTGCCAAATTTGCTTATGCACCATAGGTAAACAGAACAGTGTTCTGGGATTTTATAAATGGGTGTTAATATTTATTGTGCAATGTGCATCAACATTAGCTCAGCTTTAGTTTGAGCACCAAAAATTATATGATTATATGCACATATGAAAACACAGACTTTTGTTTACGTGTCAGGTTTCACCAAACATTTTTTCCACAGAACCTTGCAAGAGGGAAACAACATTAAAGTTTAGAGAACCCAGATGCGATGAAAAAAACTGTGCTGGAAAGAAAGGGAAAAAAAAAAGCAAAAGTAGTGGTTGTGTACCACGTCTTCTTGTATTTCTTTTTTATCTCTGTAAATTCAATGACATTAAAACTTAGATGACACACAGAATCAACTGCTGTTATCCTTTTAGGCAAACAAGACCTGCCGTATCCTGCAGTACCGGTTGAGGAAAGCAGAGCGGCGCTCTCTCCGGGTGGCCCAAACGGGGCAGGTGGATGGAGAACTGATAAGGACGCTGGAGCAAGATGTGAAAGTAGGTGTTTTAAAGAGGACTGTAGCATAATTATTGATTGATACTGAAGAATGGCGTTAGAAGCTAATTAGTTACAGTATGTTAAGAATATATTGAGTTGAACTAATTGGTTTTGTCAAACAGGGTGTCCACCCATCCTTAAAATGTCTTTAAAAGTCTGCAATTCATGTATCTAAAATTAAGGCCTTAAAATGTCTTAAATTCGTAAAAAAAAATGTGTAAGTTTGTTTTAAATATGTTACTGAAGTAGCTTAAAATTTGTCAGGTCTGGAGGGATTAAAGTTCTCAGTTGCCACAATGTATTTCCGTTGTATGTAAAAATTAGGAGGAAAAAAAACGTGTTTCAAGCCGCCCGATCAAATGATGATACAAGAATTAAACTGAGGCTGCTTTCAGCCAATAAAAAGAACCAGAGTCCCAGTTTGACCCATACAGAGCAGAGCAGGGCGGGTCGTGCTGTCTGGTTCACAGTGAGCCTGCGACCCTAACTGAACTGCCCGCCCCTTCATTCAAGCAGCGGGTGGCGATTTCATCATCTACTCAAGTGTCCGGTGCCGCCTACTCTGACTGACACTTTTTATTTGAGGAGTCAGTCAATGCTTCAGCTGCACATGACTGATTCCAGTCACTTTTTTTTTTTTTTTTTGAACTTTTTATTTTCAATAACGGTTTTATAACAACAGATATACATGTCCACCCTTGTCACATCTCACATTTTGCATCTTCATATCTTATTTACACAGACCATCCTAGACATTTCACCTCCACCAGGTAAACAAGCCATCTAATTCTGGCACTGCCAGAAATTATCCAGGAACATTTGATGAAGGAAAAAGACTCTCAAAGATGCATCTCCTTCAACTAGATATTTGCCCCATTAAGAAATACCTATTTTCATTAATAACATCCATAGATCTATAAATCTCAATAACAGCAGTGACAAGGACAACAGTGTACATAATGAAAATACAGACTAAAATAATGAAAATACACAATAATAATACAAAATAAGTTAAAAAAGTACACAATAATAAAAAAAAAAAAAAAATAATAAAAAAAAAATAAAATAAAATAAAATAAAATAAAGAAAGAAATAGAGGTGTCAAGGTTACAATATGAATTTTGCTATAGGTTTCCACTTATTTTCAAAGGTCTCCATCTTAAGTTGTAGTCTTGCTGTTGTTTTTTCCATAATGTAGACTTTTCTAATTCTATCTCTCCATTGTGTAATACTAGGCGGCTGAGGTCTTAACCAAGCAGATGTTATACACTTCTTTGCAATCAGAAGCAGGACCCTGATCAAGTATTTACTGTCTTTGTCGATCATATCCGAGTATATTATTCCTAGAATATATACAGATATGTCCAGTTCTAAGTGAATGCCCAAAATACCTCTTATACCTATTTGCACCTTTTTCCAAAACTCAACCACCTTCGGACAATCCCAAAATATATGAGTAAGATCCCCCACCTTTCCACAATTTCTCCAACAAAGCCAAGATGTCTTACCATATTTAGATGTGATAATCGGGGATCTAAAGTAACGCATCTTAACTCTCCAGTCAAATTCCCTCCATGTTGGGCTATTGGTCAACTTGTGTCCAGAACTAAATGTTTCTTCCCAATGCTCATCTGCTATTATTATATTAGCCTCCAATTCCCACTTCTCTTTAATCTCCTTATTATTAACATTGGACTCATCCTGCAGGCTTTTGTATAGTTTTGAGATCAGGCCTTTTTTAGATTCACCTTTTGCTATTGATAATAAAATTTCTTCAGTCTTGGTCATATCTGTTGAGATTTTTTGCCATTCACTATGATTCTGAAGGTAATGCCTGAGCTGCAGATATCTAAAGAAGTCATTTTTTTGTAAGTTAAATTCCCGTCGAATTTGTTCAAAAGATTTCATTATTGATCCTTTAAAAAGCTGTGCTATAAATATCAGTCCTTCTTTCGTCCATCTCTCAAACCCTGCATCCATAGTAGCTGGGATAAAATCTGGAATCTTAGCTATTTTTACAATTTTTGATATAGAGTCAGGAAATTTAAATTTCTTTTTTATTCTTGACCAAATATTAATTGTTTCCTTAATCCAATAATTTTTAATCTTGAGATTTTTCAAAACCACCTTTGTTGTAAAGGGCAGTGTTTGTAGAGATAAATTTGGGCAAGCCCTTTGTTCCATATCTACCCATAATGTTTCTTGATCCTTTGCTAACCATAGGGCTATGACTCTCAATTGAGCAGCCCAGTAATAATTCTTTAGAGCCGGTAAACCTAACCCTCCATCACTCTTTGAGGACTGAAGCATTTTGAGTTTAATTCTTGCCTTTTTATTTTGCCATACAAACCTTGATATTCTTTGGTCCATCTCTTTAAAAAAGGAGTTTGGAATGGAAACTGGGAGTGACTGGAATACAAACAGTAGTCTTGGTAAGACATTCATTCTGATTGTTTCTACCCTTCCCTCGACGGTCAGTGGTAGAATCTCCCATCTTTCTAGGTCTTTTATAATTTCCTTCTTCAGCTTCTCATAATTTGCTTTGAATAGCTGTGAAATTTGAGGTGTGATAATTATACCTAAATATCTAAATCCATTATTGGTCCATTTGAACTTTACTTTCTTTTTTAGTTGTGTTGGGCATTCACCTGATAACATCATTGCGACCGATTTACTTTCGTTAGTCGTATATCCAGAAATATTTCCGTACTCTTTAAGGCCTTCTAGTAATGCTGGTATTGATCGGAGTGGATCTGTTAAGAGTACTAATAGATCATCAGCAAACAATGATATTTTATGTTCCACCCCTCCTTCATCTCTTATTCCTTGGATTTGTTTATTCTGTCTTATTGCTTCTGCCAACGGTTCAATATTAACCGCAAATAGCAGTGGACTTAAACAGTCCCCCTGTCTAACTCCTCTCTTGAGATCAAAAAATTCTGAGCAGTATCCATTGATTCGAACTCGGGATTTTGGATTTCTATAAATTACTTTCACCCATTCAACAAATTGCTGTGAAAAACCAAATCCTAGTAGTGTCTGATATAAAAAATTTAATTTTACCCTGTCAAAAGCCTTTTGGGCATCCAAACTAATCAAGAGAGAAGGTTGTGATTTTAATTGTGCATATGACATTACATTTAGTGTTCTTCTAATGTTGTTTGCTCCCTGCCTGCCAGGAATAAATCCCGTTTGGTCTGGATTAATCAATTTAGCTATATATTTTTGCATTCTACCTGCCATTATATTTGTTAGTATTTTTAAGTCATTACATAATAAGCTCACGGGTCTATAGCCTTCGCACATAGTTGGGTCTTTACCCTCTTTACAAATTACAGATATAATGGCTTCAGACCATGTTCTAGGGGGGTCTCCCACCGTTAGTGCATAGTTGAAGACCTTACATAGCACTGGCGTTAATTCTTCTCTAAATGTCTTGTAAAACTCCCCTGGCAATCCATCTGTCCCCGGTGATTTGTTGTTTTTGAGAGTTTTAATCACATTCAGAATTTCCTGTGAAGTTATAGGTCGGGTCATTTCCAGAGACTCTTCTTCTGATAAAGTTGGGAGATTAATTCTTTTAAGAAAAGAGGATGTTTCGTCTTGCTGAGTATCTCTGTCCAAATCATCATATAGTTTTTTATAGTAGTCTGCAAACGTTTCAGCTATTTCTTTGGGTTGTGTTTTAGTTTGCATAGTTGAGGGATGTTTTATTTTGGAGACGTGCCTATTTACTTGGGCTTTCCTAAGTTGAAATGCCAGTAGACGACTCGCCCTATTGCCCATTTCATAATATCTTTGATTTGTAAAGCGCAGAGAGCCTTCTGCCTTGACAGTTAGTATCTCCTCTAATTTATCTCTTGCCTTTTTAAGCTCACCCATTGCGTTCCTATCTCCTAGTTTGTGTTCCCTTTCCAATTCTTTGATCTTATTTTCCAACTCCTTTTGTTCTTTCATTCTGGCTTTTTTCATTCTGGATGATATTTCTATTATTTTCCCTCTTATCACAGCTTTTCCTGCTTCCCATAATGTTGTTGGTGAAACTTCCCCATTGTCATTTATTTCAAAGTATTCCTTAAGTGACTCCTTGATTTCTTTGATAATATTCTGATTAGAAATGATTGATACATTCATTCTCCAATACCTGAAGCAAGGTTCCTTATTTATGCTTAAAGTTAACAGAACAGGTGCATGGTCACTTATAGTTATATTTTCTATGTTACAATTCAATACCTTATGTATATGTTGCTGAGATATATATAAATAGTCTATTCGAGAGTAGCTTTTGTGTGGATTTGAGTAAAATGTGTAGTCTCTTTTCTTGGGGTTGGTGTTCCTCCAAACATCAATAAGTCCAAGCTCTTTAGTGATATTATTTAGCCTTTTAGATTTTGTTGTCTGTGATCCATAATCAGAAGGGTATCTATCTAACACTTTATTTTGAACCGTATTAAAGTCACCCCCCATCACCATCAGTCCTTTTGCATCACTAGTTATTATTTTGGCTATTTGGTTCAAGAAGGTGTCTTTCTCTTCGTTTGGGAAATATACATTTATTACTGAAATTGTCATATCTCCTATTCTTCCTACAATCATTACATATCTTCCTTCTTTATCCTTTATCTCTTTTTCAACTTCAAACAAAATCCCTTTTTTGATTAAAATTGCTACATCCCTCCTTTTTCCAAATGAAGCACAAAATGCCTGACTTACCCACTCCCTCTTTAATTTTTTGTGTTCGTTCTCCGTTAGATGTGTCTCCTGTAATAAAGCTATTGAACATTGTAAATTTTTTAATTGAGTCAAAATCTTCTTTCGTTTAATGGGATGGTTCAGACCATGAACATTGTAAGATACTATATTTAGCCCGTTCATATTACTACCATGTCTGGAGCTGCGCTGTACCTGACACCTCTTTGAAAAGAAAAATATACTACACAGGACATAACCTCAACTGAAAAGGGAAAAGAAAGAGAAACTATAAACACATTAATTGGAA